AGCGACCAAAAAAAGTTGGAATCTTTGGAAATGATTAAAAAAGAATTTAAACAATCTTTCGAAGCAGAGGAAAATCCGAAATTAGTTGAGGTAGAAAAGAAATTGGAAGCCCAAAAAGAGAACAAAAATAAGAAAAAAAGAAAGCCAGAGCCAAAATAAAATTGTATAAAATTATTATAGAGCGGGAATTGCTCTAAAAATTAAAAATAAGCAGCAAAATAAAAAAGTAAAATATGAATTGCGAGGACAAAAATCTTAAATCCAAAAAAGGAGACCAAGGAGCGGTCTATGAAAAAGTTAATTTTTCTCCGGCTGAATGAGCCGAAATTGAGAAAGAAATCAGCAAATTTTCTGCTTCCAAAAGCCACGAGCAATCTCCAAATAATTCAGACAATCGCCGCGAATTAATTATCATTATTAGCCTAGTCGGTTTAATAATTCTGTCAATTGGACTACTGATAGTAAAAAAACGCCTTAAAAAGAATGACCCTAAAAGATAAAAAAATAGCCAGCACTCAATTCCTCAACGAAAATATTCCCTTTTCCCAAGTTCTCTTGGTTATCGACAAAGAGGAGAAAGAAATTATTGATCGTCAAGAAGCCTTGCAAAGAGCCAAAAATTTGGGCCTGGACCTTTTTTGCGTGGCCCCAGACAAAAATCCTCCGGTTTGTAAATTAATTAATTATCAAAAATATATCTTTGAATTAAGTAAAAAAAAGAAAGACAAAAAGGAAAATGTTTGTAAAGAAGTCCGGATTTCTCTCAATATTGGCGAAAAAGATTTAAAAGATAAATTGGAAAGAGTTAACAAATGAACTGAAAAGGGCTGATTAGCCAAAATTAGTGTTGTCATGGTTGGAAAACAGAAAATCCGACCCGACTTGGCCCAAGAAAAATGTCAAAAAATAATTGCCGAGTTAAAAACCAGATCTCCGAAAATTGAATTAAAAGATAATATTCGTCGGCATCTCAATACTTTTTATTTTTTTCTTTATAAAAAGAAGCAATAATTCCTCCTTGTTATTTTTAAAAATTGCGTTTTTAGAGAGAGAAAAGTTTATAAAATTAATATATAGGCGAATAATAATGCCTATATAAGTTAAAAATAATAATATAAACATATGAGAAGCAAACATCATGACAAGCACACATATTCACTCACTAAAATTAGTAATCGCCTCTATCTGAAAAGAGGAATATATAACGCCATGGTGGTGTTTAATAGAAAAATCAGATGGAAGTAAAAAAATTAGAAATTAATAACACAAATACAAAGTAATAAAAATTTATAACAATATGGTAAATTGACAAAAATATATAATAGCGGGTGAAGATTCCCATTTTAGTTTTGATAATATACTTTTTTCGTGCGTGAACTGTGCGGATGACAGCAAAGGTAAGTTAATTTGGTGTGCCAATTTTTATCCTTTTAATACTTGAAAAAAAGGAGATTTTGTAGAAATTGATGTGGACGGAATGCGATATTATAACGAGGATTACAGTCCAAACAAAAGCAATATAATTAATGATACTAGCATGGTGAGAAAGTTTGGTTCATCGGCAGTAGTGCCTAATTCATCCACGGGTATGACTATCGGATCAACTACTATAACCAGAGAGCATGGTTTGGCTATTGCTCGGGAGTTAGATTCTTATGTAGAACAAAGTGGAGGTAGAAATGAATATACAGCCAGTATTGAAGTGCAAGATGAACGAGGCAGACCAATTAAGTTTTCCTTATCCTCTAAAAGAAATAATTATCAATAATAAAAATAAAGTTAAGTCAGCATGAATAAAGAAAATCTAAATAAAAAGATCGAAGAAACTCAAAAGAAATTTGAGAAAATGTTCGGAGGTAATTGCTCTTATCACGAAGAAGGTAGTTGAAATGGTGGAAAGAATGGCATTTTCACGATAAAATTTAGGAAAAATATTGAAATCCTAAACGGATTAGAAAAAGAAATTGCTGATACAGACCAGCAAAACAGAGAGAACGAGTGAAAAAAAAGAGATGCTGAATGAAAAAGAAGGGAGGAAGAATGAAAAAGAAGAGAAAGTGAATTGGGAACACCCACTAACTACAATGAAAAGCATTCGTGGCGTAGTTGAAATAATGATGGTTCAATTGGCACGGAAGGAATGTATATTAAATCTGAAAATCAATCTCGCCTCATTACGTTAGAAAACAATTCTAATTCTCCCCAAATCCAAGAAATTGATGGCAAAGAGAGAGAAAAAGTTGAGGAAAATGCTTCTGCTACTTCTGAAAAACAGAAAGGAGAACAAGAAAATAAGTCATTCAGTCAGCAAAACATCTCTCAAAAAACGGATAATAAAGATAACAACAAAAATGTTTATTATGGAGTAGGAGCAATTTCTCTGGTTCTGCTGGCAATAAGTATGGTGGTAGTTTGAGTAAAGAAACACCGATAAGTTGAAAAAATAATTTGCTTACAGCCGCAAAAAATCCTCCTTTTGCGGCTGGCAAACCTAATAATTGAGGCCTAGACTTGAATTATTAGTGAAACTTTTTTCGTTTTTTACTATCATAATATTTTTTTGGGCCAGAGACAAAAATTATTCTTTCAGATAGATTATTAAAATTAGTATATAAGCGTATAAAGTTTATATAAGTAAGTATAAAAAAATAATAATATCATTATGGCGAAAAATAATTATTTTAACAATTTACCAAACGAAATTAAAATAAATATCTTTAAATATGTGGAA